CACACACACACACACACACACACACACACACACACACACACACACACACACACACACACACACACACACACACACACGCACGCAAGTACGCAGATAGACAAAAACAGCGATCACTTTTGCGTGTGTGTCCCTGCGCGTGTATAGGTGTGTGTGTGTGTATATGAGAGAAAGGCAGGCAGGCGAAGGTCAATTGGGCGTCAAGCTGACTCCTTTCTAACGTGCAAATGGTCTCTTTTGCACGGAAACTGACCGGGGAGATCACCATCACACAATATGACAGGATTTTGTTGCACTGCGATCGATCCGACACAGTAACTTAAATCCGGTGCTTCAGCGATCAAGAGCGGTTAAGTAGACAAGGCATCTAATTGACTGCAAACATGATCGATAGATTCGATACAAATCAATGCTATATATCCCGCAAATGCTGAGATCGATCCCCTTCCCCACCCACGTCCACTCCCCCCCCACTTACTAAGGGTATGGAGATCAAGCAAAGGGAGAAAGAAATGCGATCAGATCCTGAAGTAGGCAGTACTTCATGGTCCAATTGAAACAGCTCCCTAGGCTTTCACCTTTCACTATCCAAAGGTCTCAAAGTTTGGGCTTTTTTTTTTTGTTTTTCGTTATCCAAAGTTTGTTGCGAATTCGATCTGCATACTTCCGAATTTGAGCCCTCGTCCTCATACTAAATAGTAATTATGGGATCAAGAGTGACGTCAGAGCGACGTGAGACGGTAAACTATGCTGAGTGAATCATATTAATCACGATTGAAATCCCGGCCTAACTGCATGTCGAGATCTCCTCCACATGATGGCGCTCAGCTATGCAGCAGGACACGTCAGAAGGCTGCTGCCCTTCAGCAGAGACTACGCAATGTGAGTAACTTGATCGCATTTGCAAGTACGAGAGTCATACAGAGACTGAGGACAGCTGAGTTCAGCCACTGAAAACACGCACTTTGACTTCCGACGATCCACGCGAGAAAGACTGGATGATGCTGATCGGTCTGCGCCTTGAACGGAAGATCGGGCACCTCTCTCTCTCTCTCTCTCTCTGTGTGTGTGTGTGTGTGTGTGTGTGTGTGTGTGTGTGTGTGTGTGTGTGTGTGTGTGTGTCCCCGCTTCCCACCCTCCTCTCAAGCCGGTCTCCGTCGCCGTATCCAGTTTCGTTGCCCTTTACGGCCTTCCACTCCAGCTAAGCAACCGTTTCCCACTGTCCGCCTGCCTCCGACCCGCCTCTCTCTCT